GGGGGGAGAGGTAGAGGCCTGCAAGGAAATAGCAAATTCATGTTGGAGGTGCTTCTAAAAATTCTGTGAGATAAAGAACACTGTTGTCTGAAAGGCTTCCTTTTATCCAACTTTTCAAGGTCGCACAGACAGCTTTATGGCTAATACGAACTTCGAGAAAAAAAAAATTTTAAAAAATAAACATTCAAGGCTAAATTTGGACCTAATGATGTTATTCTCTGATAAGGAAGTAATGATTAATTTAAAGAGCCTGACAGTAAGTTTTTTCTTCAATGCATCAATTTTTGCCAATAATATGTAAAAGCGTGCATGTCTTCACGCCGGTTCTTATGTGAGTCATGAGACTTTGTCAAATTTCTTTCACAAATCACATTCTCAAATTCATAACATTAGCCATGGGTAATCAAGAGACCAAGAGTAAAATAAAGGAGTTACTTATTTGGTGAATAAAAGCACATGCTTAATTGTGAACAAAAAACAAGAAGGTTTATTACTGTATTACTGGAGAAATGTGTGCCTGCTAAATAATTTATAAAAATAAATATTTTGTGAGGATAGATAGCAAACCATAAAAACGAAGACAGTCATAAATGGAACAAAATGATTCTAAGATGACGGATTTTTCCTCTCTCATAACAGACTATTTGGGTACTGGAGCTTCTATTGCTTGGTCGATAAATTTCCTCAGTTTGTCAGTGTCTTGGAGTCCAACTAATCTTTCGAGAACTTTTCCTTCTCGCATTACAAGCAAAACCGGAACTGCTCCAACCTATATTTCAACGAAAGAGAAATATATTACTCTCAATTTATTCAGGATTTACAGAAAATAAATTCTTGGATGAACTACAGACATGATACACGGATACTAGAAATTCGCATGTTAGCAGCTTTCTTGGTTGCAAAATGAGAGAAAAAAACCTACAGACGTCCAATTACTTGCAAGTCTGCATGTGAAAAAAAATATTCTGATATTTCAGGCATGTTTGGTGAAAGAGCGTATGAGACTTCCAATGCTGCTGAGATTGTGCGACGCAGTTCTCTGGTTGTAAGTAACTGATTTGACAATTCTGCTACAAATTTTTTCCTGAATTTGCTCAGAAATTTTCCTCACTGTTGTAACGTGTCTGTAAGTGTGAATGACTTTCATTTGCCACAAACGCTGTAAAAAATTGCACAATCTGAGCAGCATTGCAAGCCTCATACGTCCTTTTACCGAAGAATGCCTCAATTAAACCAGCTGACATAAAAATGAATGATGTACTTACAAATAGAATCACCCTGTCATATCTTTGGAGCCTGACTACTTTTGCAGGTACAGAAAAGTTTAATATCTTTTCTCCAAAAGAATATTATTTACCTCATAATCCATTGCCAGGTCCGTGTTTTCGTCGATGTCAACTTTAGCCAGTAGTACCTCTCCCTTCCTCTCCTCAATTACACTTTCTAGGCGAGGAGTCAAAGTCCGGCAGGGATTACACCATCTGAAACCGATGATTTTACAAATTAATGAAGATCATAGAATAGTGCCTTGATGCAAGGATGTACCTCACTCCACCTTAGCAGCAACCTGTGAGCTAGAAATAGACTCTTTAAAAACTTTTAAAAAAAAAGTAAACTCACTGTTGTATCTTGACATCCTCTCTAGTTTAATAAAATGATTTTCAAGACTCTTGATGGACAGGGTGAGGAAAGAGAGTAAGACGGTCCAAAGGTCGAATTCCAAAGGAGGAATCAAAATTCAGATTAAGGAGAAAGTCATTACCTAAGAATATTGTTTGGCAGGAAATTTTCTTTGAAACATTGTTGTGTTATTCGAGCAAAATTATTTCCTCATAAACCACCAAAGGGCGATTTCGACGATTTTGCTGGCCACAGAGTAGCCTTTCTGCGGCGCAAGGGTTGGGTCGCATAGCGGTCTGGGGGCAGAGCTTCCTAGTTTGTAGTGCCCTCTCTTTTTACCACCACAAAGGACCCCGCACACTCCTCATGGAAGAGTGCACTAACGTTCGGCTGTGTGTCAACAAGGAAATCAGGGGAACTCCAGCACCGAGCGGCAGTCTTATCTCGGATTCTGCACGCCTTTTTGCTTGATCATCCAAATCAGATTCGTGAAGAGCATAAGAACAAAGAGTCGGAGGAAAACAGTGAACGTCAAACGGACGAGAGCGGGAGGGAGATAGCCCCAGAGTAGGCAGGAATAGATAAGAAGACAGACACTTGCTACGGTTTTCCTTATTCACATCAGACATGTTTTTGAATGCCTTGCTCTTTTTGACTCTTTATCGCCGAGTAATTGAAGCGTTCCAGGCGTATTATGCAAAAACGGTGCATTGTAGAAAGCTATCACAATGATCACTTCTTATCAGCAACTGGAGATGAATTGAATGCAGTAAAAAATTAAAAGTCGATCGTGGTGCACTAACCATTAAGAGTGCGCAGGGTCCTTTAAGGGAGGGAAAGTGTTGTATCATAAGATTCATACGCATTCAGAATTTCCATGCTCACCAGTGGAGCCATTGGGGTCATCCCTGAGCTACTTGTCTTTATTAGTAGATACTACTTGTTATTCGCTAGTTCCTAAGTGCCGTTCCATCATATTAGTATTTCAGGCAATTAAGAATGTTAGGAATGTACCTGAGTGTCTCTCTTCTCAGTTCATGACACTCATAGAAGAGGAAATCTTATTCTGGTACTTTTATATTTAGAATCTAAATGAGGATGGCTTTGAAGACGATGAATTAATATTCCTTTCAAGAGATTAATATATTCTTTTTCTGGTCAAGTTTTGAACTAACGTAGAATTCGCCAAGCTACAATGTTAATATTTACTGGAGTCAGTGCTTAACATTGGCATAAAAACTTACTCTGATTCCTTCATACACTTGAATTATAGTTGAAAAATAAGGGACATAGAGGTTAGATGTGTCTTGAATGGTTTGCTAGCTTTGGCATCAGTGTTGCTACAGATCGCTACGTGTCTCTCCTCATATCTACGTTTAATTGGGCGAACCTTAGAGTTTGTGTTCATTAGACAGCTTTATTCTAAAAGAGTATAACCAATGAAAGCAGATCTCGGGATAATTTTTCAATGGAGGCTCAAGAACGTCCTATTTGCATGGAAATCTGTCAAGCATCTCCACGAACAGAGATTTGCTCCCAAAAATGATTAGATAAGTGAACTAAGATTAGGATACACAATCAATAAAATATACTTACGTTGCAAAAAAATCTACAATCACAGGTTTTTTGCTACTTTTCACTCTTTCCTCAAAGTCCTTAACGTCTTGAATTTTAAAAGAATTGCTACTCTCTAGTCTGCGACCTCCAATCAGTAAAGTTTCTTGCACTTTCAATAAAGAATTCAACCTTGAGAAAACTCTGAGACTCATTATAAACGGAATTTAGTTGAAATTACACCTACTTAAATTATACTAATTTTAAAGGAAGTCGGCAGAAGATACAGAAAGAAAACACGGTGATTGCTATCGTTTATCAGCACTATTACATCATGCATGTTTACAATCACCACGGTCAACAGATGTTGTCTAATTGGCAAAAAATTGATTTGCTGACAACGATTTACTAACAAAAGAGCTTTTCATACGACGGAAATTTACAAAGAAAGAAAAAAACAGCCAGAGAGCCCGCTAATGCATGGGAGAGGGATAGAAAACAGCCAGGGAGCCCGCTTATGTGTGCGAGAGAGAGAGACGGATAATCATGTGTGCGAGAGAGACAGATAATCGCCTAGCGGGACGCCTACGAGTGTGCGAGAGAGACAGAAAACAGCCAGGAACCCCGCTAATGTGTGCGAGAGAGATAGAAAAACGCCAGGGACCCCCTAATGTGTGCGAGGGAGATAAAAAACAGCCAGGGAGCCCGCTTAGGTGTGCGAGAAAGACAGATAATCGCCTGCCGAGACGCCTATGAATGTGCGAGAGAGACAAAAAACAGCCAGGGACCCCCAAATGTGTGCGAGAAAGACAGAAAATCGCCTGCCGGGACTTGGGTGGTTTTTCCGTCAAAGCAGCATCGCGTTCCCCCGCGACCCACCGAGAGTGGTTGCACCCTCGGTTCCCCCGTTCAAGGGCACCCAGTGCGAGAGAGACAGAAAATCGCCCAGGTACCAAGCGTATAAGTGCGAGAGAGATAGAAAATCACCTTGCACGACGCGATTGTGTGCGAGAGAGACAGAAAATAGCCAGGCATCTTGCTAAAGTGTGCGAGAGAGACGGAAAATCGCCCGGGTAGGAAGCGTACAAGTGCGAGAGAGACAGCAAATAGCCAGGCGGGACTTGGGTGGTTTTTCCGTCAAAGCAGCATCGCGTTCCCCCGCGACCCTCCGAGAGTGGTTGCACCCTCGGTTCCCCCGTTCAAGGGCACCCAGTGCGAGAGAGACAGAAAATCGCCCAGGTAGCGAGCGTATAAGTGCGAGAGAGATAGAAAATCGCCTTGCACGACGCGTTTGTGTGCAAGAGAGACAGAAAATAGCTAGGCGTCTCGCTAAAGTGTGCGAGAGAGACAGAAAATCGCCCTGGTAGGAAGCGTACAAGTGCGAGAGAGACAGAAAATCGCCCAAGTAGCAAGCGTATAAGTGCGAGAGAGATAGAAAATCGCCTTGCACGACGCGATTGTGTGCGAGAGAGACAGAAAATAGCCAGGTGTCTTGCTAAAGTGTGCGAGAGAGCAGAAAATTGCCCGGGTAGGAAGCGTATAAGTGCGAGAGAGACAGAAAATAGCCAGGCGTCTCGCTAAAGTGTGCGAGAGAGACAGAAAATCGCCCGGGTAGGAAGCGTATAAGTGCGAGAGAGACAGAAAATAGCCAGGCGGGACTTGGGTGGTTTTTCCGTCAAAGCAGCATCGCGTTCCCCCGCGACCCTCCGAGAGTGGTTCCACCCTTGGTTCCCCCGTTCAAGGGCACCCAGTGCGAGAGAGACAGAAAATCGCCCAGGTAGCAAGCGTATAAGTGCGAGAGAGATAGAAAATCGCCTGGCGGGACGCCTATGACTGTGCGAGAGAGACAGAAAACAGACAGGGATCCCGCTAATGTGTCCGGGAGCGATAGAAAACAGCCAGGGAGCCCGGTTATGTGTGCGAGAGAGACGAAAAGTCGCCTGGCGGGACGCCTATGAGTGTGCGAGAGAGACAGAAAACAGCCAGGGACCCCGCTAATGTGTGCAAGAGAGATAGAAAGCAGCGATAGGGTGCCCGCTTTTGTGTGCGAGAGAGGCAGCAAATAGTGACGCCCAAGTGTGCGACAGAGATAGAAAACAGCCAGGGAGCCCGCCAACAATGTGCGAGAGAGATAGAAAACAGCCAGGGAGCCAGCTAATGTGTGCGAGAGAGACAGAAAATAGCCAGGCAGCCCGGGAATGTGTGCGAGAGAGACAGAATATACCCAAGCGTGATAGGTTCCTTTGTGTGCGAGAGAGATAGAAAACAGCCAGGGAGCCCGCTAATGTGTGCGAAAGGGGCAGATAACAGACAAAATTTGCCACCCCCTACATTTTGCCGCCATCGAGGCACGGCCCATGTGGCCACCCCCTTAATCCGGCCATTTCGATAATGACTCACTATGGCTCTAAAAGTAAGTAATTTTGTAGTCACGGTGTAAAAATATGTGGAACCTGGTCTTGATTTTCCAGAATTTTTTTACTGGACAGATGTTGGCCAGCTGGGATGCTCTGATACTGTGAACTTTCTTTGGAAAGCGTTTTAGAGCGTGAGCCTTTATCAGGGGTGGATGCAACTCCCACGGGAATCCTCATGAGATTGTTCTAATAGAAGTAACTGTAACTGATTCTGATCGAAACAGTCTTCTGAAACGAAACGATTAGTTGGAAATGAACGACTATGAAACAACAGGAGAACCTTGAAATTTTAAAATATTGCTTTTATAAAAATCCAATTCTCACTTACCGTATGAAGTATATATATGCCTTGCCACAATTTTTACCGTGACCACTTAAATATGGTCTCAAGTGAGCCAACAAAGCCACAAAATTTCAGCCATTTTCATCGGGACACTGCATTAAGAGGTGATGAATGTAAAATGTCCATTAAACAAGTCTAATAGCCACTTAAAGTTTAAAATCTTAAAATGTTTTTAGCGCGACTAAAAATTCATTATGGCTGCTTGATTTCAAGATTTTTAAAGGAATATGATGAAAGCGTCCAAACATAACATTGAATCACTTGCACAAGTTGCAGTGACAGTTGAGAAGATGGACTGATCAGTTGTGAGTTGTGAGAAAAAAATCAAGTCACATTTTCAAAAAAACTGAGGCAGCTTTGGCGCTTGACTGTATTACTTCTTTACACCAAGAAGCCGAGCATGCCAAACATTCGTAGCATTCATGACATGGTCCTTCAAGTTCTTTTGATATTGGGTCTAAAAGAGGAGGGAAACAATAGATGTATTTTTCTACACTTTGACAGTATATGAGACTTTGGCTCCTCCCTATTGGCAGACCAGCAAGTTCATCAGCGATGCTCTTGGGGTGCAAGATGTAGGCATGTGGACCAGTGTGAGGAAAAGGATGTGGTCAGATCACATCGACCAAATGGATGAAGAGAGACTAGCCAAAATTTGTATGACCGTACAACCCTTAGGGAAAAGATTACCTGGACGACCGCTTAAGAGATGGGCACAAGGCTGGCTCTCTTCTTCTAAGGATGATTGAAGATTTTATGCTGTTTCAAAACATTTGACGAGTCCTTTATTTTTAGTGATTTTTCATATTTATATAGTTCATTGTGCCCGATACTCGATGGCCTGACAAACAGGGCTATGTCCTAGTCGTTAATGGAAGAAGAAGAGGAAGATGGACATTCTAACAGGTCTACCGCAAGGCTCAATCTTTTCCCCATTGCTCTTAAAAATTTAATCAGCGATTTGCCATATTGCATTGACTTTCTTTGCCTACTATTTGCTGATGACACAACAGCAGCAACATCAGGACCAGATGCAGCAATAAAAGGAGGGTCAGCCAATAATCAAACATCAGATTGGCTAATTGCAAATGGTCTAATCTGAAATCATTCTAAGACCAATGCACTGTCCTATTCCGCAAAGCAAACCAATTCACTCTGTAGTAAAATCAATGCTATCAATGATCATCTAGAAATACAAACCAGTGAGACACCCAAATTCTTGCGCATAATACTTAATCAAAATCTTGACTGGTAGGATCATATGGACTGCATTTTGCAATTTGGAACGATAAATTCTGGCTCTTCTGGAAAAAAACGTATGTGCATAGGGAGACTAATGGCACATACGTTGTTTTTAAACCGGGCTAGAATTTACAGTTCCAAATTGCAAAATGTAGTCCATATAGCCTTTGTAACTAATAAAATGAACAGCCATGCCTATGCAATCAGAAGTCTTTCTAAAATACTTAGTCCCTTTAAACTGTTTATTTTTAGCTGTCTTTTATTTCGTCTGCAGTGGACACTTCGCGGTCCGCAGGCGTCTGCAATCGTCATTTATTATTTTGCGGATGACTTGGAGTGGATAGGGCTTTTCGAGGATGCGAAGCGGACACAAGAATTCGCCTGGATGCGGACACCTGCAAACGTAGACCGCGGACGAAACCCTAACCTCTCGACAATATCATCTTCTTCACCATTTCTTCACGTCCCCTTCTATTTTGTCATTTGTCAATCCTACTTAGTCTCTATTTGTTTTTTGACCCATGATCTTCGAACTTTTATACCTGTTGAAACAATTCAGAATTTTTTAACTGTCCAAGAATTACGGTTTTATTCATTTATTGGTTGCAATTTGAAACATGTTGGCGTTTATGCCCAAATTCCTCATCTTTATTTCGTTTTTGATAATTTTCATCGAGCACTCCTACGTAATTTGTTATAAAGATGCTTCACACCCAGTCAAGTTTATTTAGTAAATATAAATAAGTAAATAAAATTCAGTGGCGCCCTCCAACGGACCGCGCTGTAAATAACCTGCTCCGCTGCGATTGGTTCTCTAAATATCTGCAAAAATCGTCGATCGTCTGCGGTCCACAAAGAATCCTACAGATAAAATAAAAGACGGCTAATGTACTATTGTGCCAACATTGTTTTACATCTGAGATATGGCTTATTGTTAGTGTTATGGGGGAGGAGCTAATCAGCTGGCAAGCTTTTCATTGAACAAAACAAGATCATCAGAATTATTTTCAATCTGCCATACAACCATTCAGTTCAGGAAATCTTCAAGAGGCACCAAATTCTAACTCAGCCCTCACTGTATATCTACAAATGCCTATTTGCTATTTCTAACAACTTGATAAAGTCAGAAAACTGAACCCCTCCCCACATTTATAACAGCAGACATGATTTTACTGAAGTCCAAAAACACTGTACAAAAAAGTCAAGAAATAATATCAAAATTGCTGCAATGCAACTTCTCAACTCACTACATATCAAGCAGCGTGAAGGAATTGCTTTAATTGGGAAACATTACTGGGTTGCTGAACTCACTTAGGAGCCTTTAAAGTGCAAATGCCTCTTACACTGAAGAGGAATTACTCAACCTGTAGACCCCGTTTTTGATTGCTTTCTATTTCAGTTATATCTTATCAGGTATCTACTCCTATCATGTACCTATCACCATCGATGTATCAACTGTATGTGTTGTATGACATGACATCATGTATGATCTGAATATTAGCCATGTGCATGGCTCATGTACCCAAGGCGGATGAAGAATGGTGGTCGCATTTCGTACCCTCTGGACGTCACAAGGTATCAGGTGCATGGGCGGGGGGGGGGGGGGGGGACCTCAACCTCGGATTGCAAGGCAAAACCCTTGATGTCACAACACTTCAAGATGGCAGCCAAAATCGAGATGCGACCACAATTCTTTATCCACCTTGCATGTACCAATCTATATGAATATATAAATAGATAAATAAATAAATAAATAAATGAAACAGTTATTTGGAGTCAGTTCTCACAATAATAGACTGAATTTATAATATAGATGTTGTATATTAGAACAAAGAATTATCAATAGATAAAAAAAACTGTAAAAAAAAAGAAGGGCGGTCAAAGTACATAAATTATGCAACAAGGGCTGAAGCTGTGCTGGATTCATACTTCCAGTTGGGTGGCAGGGATCTTTTCAATTTGTAGAAACGTGCAAGCCTGTGGATCCTGGATTCAACTAAAATAAGACGGAATTTGGAATCTTTGTCTTTCCTGTAACATAAATAAAAATAACATTAAATGGACGAGCGAGATTCATTGAGCAAATTAGCAAGTTCTTTTGGGGGGTTACGTGCCGACAAGATGGCTGCAGTGCTTTTTTCTCTTCTTCCACCACATCTCAGTTTGACTAATAGCACTTAGGTAAGCTAAATGTTAAGTTAAGCTGGTGCCTTTATGATTAAAAAATTATATTTCACTACTATTTGAGGGGTACAAATGTTACAAATGCATATCAATGGCAGAAGTGCAAAACGATGTACTTCCTTTGCAGTGTTTCAAAATTTACGCTTCTTTTTCATTTCTTTGAAGAAAAATAAGCAAAAATAGCTTGAAATTTACACATAATGTTCTGCTGATAAAGAAGAAAAACTACAAGGGCTTTTAGGATATTAAGTTGACTAGTTTTTCAAAAGAGAAATAATACATGACAGGAAGTCTGCAATGTCACAAAAGGAGATACGCTGTTTTGCACTTTGGCCATTGACATGTAAAATTGTGAAGACATTAATTTTTTAAAGCTATGGCCATAGTACAAAGACCTGTTAGCTGAATTTTCAATACGTGGTCAGACTGGTATAAATTTTCGTGCTGGCAAGTGTAAATTTCTGTGAAGTTATATGGTTTTTTCATTTTACCGGTTAGGATATTATTACCTGTAAGTTATCTTTCCGTCTCCGTTTTCCTTCAGTAATTCCTTGTCTTAAGCGAAGTACATTTTGCAAATATTATTTCCTTCTTCAGGCCACAAACTTTTTTTTGACTCGCACTATTACATTGTGCGCGTTCGAAATTACAAGAAATGTTAAAATATTAAAACCGAAAAATAAAATACACGTAGACTAAACAAAAATTGATTGACTGTGTAACCGCACCGGATCGCGACCGATTTATTACTCATATTTATTTTCGTTTTCACATCTATTACTTGGTAATAAATAGGACACGACCAGGTGCGGTTACATAGTCATTTAATTTTTGTTTAGTCAACAAGTTTTGTTTTATATTTTTCCGATTTTAATATTTAAACGTGTCTCGCAATGGGCCTGTTACAAACTTTTGCTAGAGCAAAAATAAGAGTTGTTTCTTATAGATAATGCCTCAAAAATCACGATGAGCGCATCGGCAAAGTTTGAAATGCACTCATAACTTTACAGTCTGCGTAAGAAATTTGCGGTTTTTTGAGCTTCCCGCTTCAAAAACGATACTACAGCACAGGTGAACATTTTGTAAGAGGAGTCGTTCCGTCGTCGGCAATAATCATCATGGCCGACGCCCATCCGCCAAAACACGTTTGAAGGGACCAGACAACATCTGAACTGGATTAGACCAGATAACAAACTGTGTGTTAACGTTCATATTTTCCACGCCCGAATTGGTTGACCTTGAACTCTCCTCGAATTACGCGCGGAACTGCGCGCAAGCGTCGGCCATGATGAATATCGCCGACGATGGAGCGACTCCTCTAACAAAATGTTCACCTTTGCCGTAGTATCGTTTTCGAAGCGGGAAGCTAAAAAAAACGCAAATTTCTTACGCAGATTGTGAAGTTATGAGCGCATTTCAGATTTTGCCGATGCGCTCATCGTGATTTTTGAGGCATTATCTACAAGAAACAACTCTTATTTATGCTCTAGCAAAAGTTTGCAACAGGCCCATTTCGAACTCACACAATGTAATAGTGCTAGTCAAAAAAAATTTTGTGGCCTGAAGAGGGAAATAATATTTCTGAAATGTGCATTGCTTCAGACAGGGAATTACTGAAGGAAAACCAGGACGAAAAGATAACTTACAGGTATTAAACTTCTGTGATTTCCCCAATTCATAGTAACCCTTCGACCGATGCAGTACTGAAGTGCGATCGCTCTGAGTCCTACCAAACTTCGCCAACACCTGATTACGATCCTATCCATTCATCATTGTCAGTAAAATAAAAAACACCAACTGACAGCGTAAAAGAGGATTTAACCTACCTGTTCCTTTCCAAGTGCTTCCTGATGGAGACGGCCTTCTTGATTAAACAGTACAAATCTTCAGGTAAAGATGGAGCAAGACCCAAAGCTCTCATGATTCTAAGAATCTTGTTTCCTGATACAACTTTTAAGTATCGTGAGATGTTGTTTTCAAAAACTAATTTGACTTGTGACACTCCATGAGAATCTCGCAGGATTACACCTGAAAAAGGGTTAAATAATATATTTTCATCCACTACCATTTAGACATCAATCACATACAGCATAGTCGGGTTTATTTAAGATTCTTAATAAATCAGGAATACTGAAGCAGTAGTTAAAAAATACGAACACTTGGAGACTGATCTTTTTGTTCGTGTCTGATTTTTTTCAGAGCTGGTAGTTTAGTTTGTGTACCTTCCAACCAAATTAGGTTTTTTGATGCAGTTGCTTCAGGTTGCCGGACAAACTGTGCGTTGATTTGGTTCACTTTTGAGCCTAATATAGAAAAAATAAAAAAAGAGAATGAGAGGAATTCTTACCAATTTTGGATGGGGTGAAACCTTTCTTCGCCAGTTTGTAAATGTGTTCTTTGACATCTTCTGGTGTTAATTTCAGCCAGTTGGGAATGGACCGCCGGTATGGGAGGGCAGACTGGGATATACCCTTGCTAGAGAACAGAAACATAGTAAAGAGAACATGAAGACTTGTCATTGAATGTCCATGATTGTACCTTTTATTACGGGGATTTTCAGCACATGCTGGGTGAGTTCATTGAACAAGAAATAAACTCAAGCGCCATTTGAACTATTACAACTTTAAGAGCTCTATCCATTGTTGATGAGACAGAAGAATGAATGGAACTGCATTGAACAGACAATTGTCCAAATGGCTGGATGCACTCTGAAGCTGTGGTTGACTGGCATAATGGACCACTAGACAAGGTTCGAAGTTAAGCATTCTGATATATGTTTCTTAACCAATTTTTGACGCAGAACACGATTCGTGCAACAAAAGTTGACTCCTGACCAAGAAATTTAAGGTTTCTTGGCGCATAGATTCAAACCTCCCACTCAGGAAAATGCAAGGGTCTGCGTACGTCAGATCGCACACTAACAGTTGTCATGGCTGTCTTTGCGAAACGAAAAGATGGCAACCTCGATCTAGACTATTTGACTCAGCCAAATTGTTTACTCTTTGAACAATATAGGGTAGGAGGGAACAATGCTTGATTGTGCTAAAACCGTTGTAAGGGGCGATAGAAATCACGTAGAGTATTGTGTTCCTTGTGCCCTGGCTATTCGAATTACCCGTGACCAATGTAAAATTAAAATGTTAATATCCTACTTAGGAGTTGATTTCAGTAATTTTTGATGAAAGAATTGTGTTCGACATAAAATTATGGTTAAGAAATGTGTATTGGAATGCTTAAATTAGTACCTTGTCCAGTGGTCCATTAATGAGAGAATGAAAAACGATGAATGATGGAGCTCGCTCATCCTAAGGACATTAAGGCAACAGAAGAGTTTCATTTCCATAAGTACTCATCAGTGAATGCAAGCATTGACTTGCTGAGTGGTGCTACTTTGGGGCTATTCAAAGATTTACGCAAGTGTCGACATAGGATAAGCAAGCTCTCCTCATTGTTAATACTGCTAGTTGGTAAAAATAATTATTGGTAACGCTGAGTGTATAGATATCAAATGGAAGCATCAGGGAGATAGTTACCTTGCACCGTATTCGATTTGTGAGCTCCATTTGAATGGGTAGGAGAGGAAAATATTCAGTCACATGATGTTATGAATACATAGCATCGGCAGATACACAATCAAAGAGAACTGAAAAACTCTGAATAATTTGGGGCCTAAAGGTAGCCAAACATAGAGAGAGGGACGGAGCAGAGTTCGTGAGCTAGCAGATGCGGACTAGAAGAAGTGCGTAAGATTTCGACATCATTCCACTATGTACTCGGTTCAGTGGGACGTCGGTACGTTGCCTTAGGATTGGAACTTAGGGGGTAGCTTCATGAGAGATATGATTCATGGGTTATGTAGCTAGTGGTATTTGTTTAGACGGTTTAATAAGGTAGTAATCATGGAATGAGCGTGAAACTATTCTTGAAATAGCAAGACAAAATATGGGTTTACAGGTTAGCTTAGGCTCTAACTGATGCTGTCAGGCCGAGGGATTGGCAGTTATTACAAAAGGACACCGTAGCTTCAAGAAACATTGTGATATTGATGAGACTTACCCAGGTGCGTGCATACGACCCATGATTAGAGTTTTTGATCAATTACACCCGCGAAGATGAAAATTAGAAGAAAAACACGCTACACGTGTAAAGCTTTCAGGCGGCAGGATAGATCTCCATGAAGTAGAAAAGAAAAGAAGGAGGAGGAGGTGAACACCGCATACGTCATTCCTTCAATCGGAAAATCAGTCTCAAAGGAGATGACAGTGCTCTCTGACGAGGAAAATGTGAACTAAGTCATATAAACAAAACGCATAAAAATGAATTTCAATGATAGTTTTTGCATTGATAAGCGAGTAATCTCATGAGGAGATTGCAGAAAATTATCAAGAACATATGGAATTTTTTTTTCTAAAATGAAGACAATTTCCAATTAATTAGGAATTTTTTTCCAATTTTTATTTAGAAATGAAAGTAGATGGCGCTAAATTTCTGAAGCTCTTATCAGTGGTCACTAACCAATGACCAATTTGACAACCTCCGTTCTATTGCTGCAAAATGGCTACTTGGTAGTTTCCCCTGACAGTTTCGTAATGTTTTTTTCCCTTTTCAATCATAACATTATATTGTACAACCGTGATTTTCCGATACCATTATACTATTAGTTACGATGTAGTTTTCGCCTAGTGTCTGTGTGAAGTGAACCTTTATTCCTCGTCAAGAATGTAGCGAAGCGGCGGTTTTGTTGTTCTAACCCTGATCTATCTTCTGTCATTAATGGTTTACTTTATCTAGTTTTCATTCAAGTTGAATTACTCTAAGGGAATAACTGTGAAAAGTATGAATGAAATCGAGTTCCAGGCGCACGAACTCGTGCGTCGTAAGGAATGGAGTCAAGCTCTTTACTTGTTTGATGAACTTCTGGGACATGCAGTTTCTAAAGGGCTGTCCAAAGAAAAAGTTGTTTCCTTCTTGCTTGGTCGATCAGAATGTTGTTTAGAACTTGGACGACATGAAGCTGTTGTTCTGGACTGCCGTCGAGTCATCAAACTGTTGCAAGGTGCTGAAAATAACAATAGCAATCTTGGTGCAAGAGCCCGAAGACGTCTTGTTCATGCCCTTTTCTCACTCAGAAGGTTTGGTGAAGCTGAAGCTGCTGCCACCGAATGGATAGCATCAAGCGATAACTCTGCTCAGACTAATACTGAAGCCTTAAAAATGCTGGAGCGAGTAAGACTGGTATTACAGATGGCCAATGGTCAAAAGAATACTTATAATAGGAGCTATGCAAATCCTCATCAACGAGTGGAGGATGATATCCTTGCCCTAGATTATAAACTAGAATCATGGATAGGAACAGGAGTAACAGGATCTGTTAGGAATCAGAAACATCCAGTTGAACTAATTGGTGATCCAGCTAAAACAGAACCCTTCATCCACCATGAACAACATGGTCCAGAATTCTCGTATGCGAGTAACCATCTAGATTTGTTAGACATGTCATTCGTGGAGAATGGTCAGCAGTCTCTCATTCCTTTGAACCAAGGTAACTATAGTTTCTCGATTACTTAGTTTTAGGTTTGATCTTATCTTTCATGCCGTATCTGGCTGTCAGTGAGTTTATCAAGGTTCTGCTCCGAGTAAATCTTGTTGGACGTCTGAGTAGAACTTCTCAATATCTGAAGCATGATGATACTTTTTTTTTAAATTTTCCTCTTTCCCATTTTACTTTGGTTTCAAGCAATGGACAAATTGTTAAATAAAGTGGCAGCTTTTACTCCCAAGTCACAGAAAACACTTGATCATGTAAGATGAATGTTCAGAAACTTTCTGGGCCACATACTTGTTTTTATTAAAATCTAGCTTAAACTAGTTCTTCATCTAAAAAATGATTTCAAGCTTTTAATTAGGTACTGTTGCCACGTCTTAGTGTAAAATAAAATAAAAGTCATGGAGCCTGTGTATTCTCTCTGGAATTTTTATATACCAGTAAATATGAGCAATGCCTGTTTGAAGGAAATGAGTAGTTTAGTAGGTTTGAAAAAAAGATTCACCTTGAGCAACTAATATCCAAAAATAAATAGACTTGCAGGCCAGATCTATTGAATTATTAGCTCATCAGAATTGTCTGAAATTAAGATTGATTCTACTGTAGAATTGATTTTATTGAATATATGTTGTGGACTGAGGATAGATTGTATCTAGGCCCCAAACGGATCTTGCCAAAAAGAAAGGAATGGGAGGGAAGGGAGTTTTTGAATAATTAAAATTTTGTCGTCACCATTTTACTTGTTGAATACTTCATACCTCTCTCAGTATGAATCGGTATAACTATAACATTCTATTTCACTTAACTTCTTACAGCACACTTTTTCTTGAGAAGTCAGTGAAACACTAATTTCAGGATTCTCAAGTTGAGGAATTGCACCTGTGATTGCGTGTATGTACTCAGGAGTCTATGCCAACTAAGTATATGCACTTTTAAACCGTGAGAGATCTGCTATCTTGATTCTTGTATTTCCTTCCAATGCTAAATGGACTTAAGAAAATCTCCTGTTGCAGTCTGAAAGAGCGCAAACTTATTCGGCGTGGAGTCCACATGAATTTATTCCAAAAACTTTGCCAAAAGTAATGAGATTTTTTTTTTCTTTTGTTTCCAGTGGTCAGTATGCCTCTAGCCAATGGATACTTGGAGCCAGAAAAGAAAGTGAACAAACCCAGTGATAAACTCGTTTATTCCTGTACTTACTGTTGTTTAAATTTCAGTGATAGATCAGAACTTCAAGCTCACTGTGGTTCAGAAAGCCATCAAACTGTTATAATGTCTGATGAAGGAAGGGACTGGAAGTGGAGACCCCCGCCTCGAGGCTACACTGGTGACAATTATAGGTGTGTGAATCCTTTTGTGAAGAAAGAAATCCACATTTTTGACAAATTTCATATGTGTAATAAATACACGCACAGTTTTTTCAATGCTACGAAAAATTCAAGAAAGAAAAACATTTGTCTCATGAAATCTGTATATTGCTTTTCCCCCAGTATATCAATCAGAAGTTAGTATGTTAGATTTACCATCAAGACACCCTTAGAATCTACTATTTTAGGAAAAGAATATCAGCAGCTCAGTCAAATCAAATCAGTCAAAGAAAAGTTTGTGAAATTGTTATGAACACTAGTGAAATGAAAAGTCTGTGTCAACATTGCATTCTTTTTTTATTTTGATACATTTCTGCAGGAGTGCAGAAGCTTCCTTAACATTTGACTAGCGTTCCATTTGTGTGAAATGGGGGTAGCCCTTGAGAACAGGAGTGTTTAGAGGGATTTTTTGGGAGATATTTTTGTCTGCACAACGTTCTTGAGGTGAAAAAGTCAATTTCTTGGAGTACAGAGTTTTTGTATTTTTTATTTCTCGTCTTTATTTTACCTCATCCTAAGTTTTAAGGTGGAAAATATTCATTATTTTATGTGAAAATTGAGGAATTTAAGAGAAAGCCAGGGACTTTTTATGTCCATGTATGTATACTTGCAGGTGCAAAAAACATTAAAGAAACCGACCAATCATTATTAATCATCACACATTTTATTGTTTCATCAATTTTTAGCACAAAGTAAGTATTTTTATATGTATAAAATATTTACCCTTACTTTGAGAAAGTAACATTTCTTTGACAAAGAAATTTAACCTCTATGGAGGCATGTAATTCTGAAAATGTGTTTCTGCTTTCAAAAGAGTTGGAAAGCGAACAATTTCTGACAATTAATTTTGATTGAATCTTTATTGGCTTACCGTAACTAATTTACCTCACAAGCAATGTTTATCACTGTCAAGTAATGTTTTAAAATGGTAATTGTTCTATCCCTCAGTCTCTGTGAAGCTTTTATGGATGGTGGTGAAAACGCCTGCCGATATGGTGCTCAGTGTGTAGAAGCGCATGGTGTTGAAGAGTTAGCGGAATGGAAGCATCGCTTTGAGTATAGAAGAATGCGCCTAGAGCGAGCTGCTGAAAAAGAACTCTATGGAAAGTCCTATACAGAGCAACTATTAGAAAAGTAAGTAATGCTTCTGTGGGTGTCCTCTCATGTGATAGTGGAAGTTCTTCTGCATTTCTTATTTCAGTCAGCTCTCTAAAATCCAAAAATTGCTAAGACGCTGCATATCTTGATTGGAACACATCACTGTAGGGCTCATTTCAGATGCTGAGAGAAATGCTTTTTTAACCTAAAACACTCCAAGACCTATACATGAACTGGAACATGAAGGCTGTCAAGAGGCGAATTTTCGCGAGTGGACTTAGTCGACTTTTTCAACCAAATTGGCAGGGTTGCAAACTAAAGAAAAAAAACGCTCTGATGCAATCAAGAACTAAACTCAGTTATTTGATGAATTTTGGCCAACGGTTGCATCCATCCACTTTTCAACCCACCGCGGCAGGTGAGTCGAGAATTTTGGATGTGGTTGTCACTGCTGCCAGTAAGAAAACTGAATGTTGTAAATGCACCGTTGTCCAGAGGGAATTTCATTTTGGTGTAATGGAGGTTGCCAGTAAGTTAAAAACTTCGACCAAATCCACTCGCAAAAATTTGCCCAAAGTCTGCTGTTTTGGTTTCTATCCAAACGCTATTCCTCAGTTGTGACAGATTGAATTTTTCATTCATTGAAAGCTTTAATCATGAAGAATTACTTTGTTACTCTCCTAATTGTGCAGTTAAATCTGTAGCTGTTAAAAATTTTAGAGGAGCAAAAAATGTTTAACAGTACATTTATAAAAATATCAATTTGAAATATAGAGTATTAACTCCCATAAAATTAACTGCCTGAGGCTAGAATATTTTAAATACTGAAGGTCAATCGTGAAATGATGACCATAATTTAAAAATCTGACAATGTTAGACTCTAGCAGCACGGTCGGTCTAAATTACTAATTTTTATTGATTTTAAGATAAAGATAATCTACTTCCAGCAAAGATTTTATTTATGAACATACACATTACTATTTCCTCTAGATGGCTTTCCACTACGAGCCCAGAAAAAGTACTGAAGGAGCATATTGAAGAAGTAGAGGATAGTTGTGTCGAAGAACTAGAAACAACGGTTGCATCCAAAACTAGTAGTTATGAATGGAACTTCATTCTGAAGTCGAAGAAATCTTTAAGAGCTGTGGCTCTTCTTCAAGATGCACATAGAAATCATTTTTCCCTAAGGTATGTATTTCATACTCAAGCATTCAATTTTTATTTTGTTTTAAAATTATCATGCCATTCTATTTTTTACTCCGCAGTGATTCCCAACAGCTTTTTTTTTCGGTTGACCAAGGAAGACAGAGAAAGGTACTTTTTGAACTCTCAGCACTGTGCATCTTGTTCTGTCATGTCTGTTCAAAGCCTTTTTCAAACCTATAATGACCTTTAAAAACTTATCAATTATTATCTATGTTTACTGACAGTCATTTTCTTAATTGCAGAAACAGAATGGGCTATTAAGAAATAAGGTACTAGTAGCTCTGAAGGTGCTGCAAAGTTGTATTTTGTCTAAGCAGATAATTTCAACTAAAAGAAGAAATAATCATGCAATTTTAAACGGAGTCAAGTCAGACACTCTGAAAGCAGAATTTAAAGAGTCATTTTAAAAATTTCAGTGCAGATTGTGCAGTTACATTTCTGTTTTTGATGGTCTTTTGATTCTCTTTTCTAGGCGGATTTCAACTTCTGACCCTTCTCATAAAACTAAGTTTGACTGTGAACCAAACAACAATCAAGAATGGCTCTCCCCAATCCCAATATCCAACAGTGAAGGATTTCATGAAGAGCAAGCAACGTTAGAATACTCCGTCAAAGTTTCGTTTTCCACTGATATCTACGGAACCTTTAGGCAGTCTGTAGTTTTCGATTTTGGATCTGATCCTGTTCTAGTGAAGCATGTATGTGTTGACGTTGTCCCTATTGATGATGTTGATAAATTAAAAGAAATTAAGAAGGTATGTGCTTGTAAAATTAGTCATTTTTTCTTCTTTTACCAATAAAAATTGATAATTTTACATAGCCATGGGAATTTTTCTCTGAAGAAGAAACAAATTTCAATAATTCGAGTTGTTACTATTGAATAGAGCAAGAAAGTAATCCAAATCCTATACAGTCAGTGTTCCAACTTCACCTCCAAGTTTTAGGAGCCGTTTGGCCCATCAAGTTCAATTTTTAGGGGCCATTGAAGATTTTTTAGGGGCCGAATTGAATTTTTGCCTATATATCACGGCGCATTTAGTGAAAAGTTATACGCAAGATATACAGTTACAGGACTTGCAAGTTGCAGCTCGCAGCCATTACTTGGGAAAGGGAAAGGCCAAAGGAATGATATTCCGATTTAAAACAAGGAGCTTTTAGTTTACTTAAAGTTTGTTCAATTAAATAATACTTTTTCTGACTTCCTATTATGAAAAGTAGTAGAACGATTCTATAGTATGTACGATAAGTAGTGCAATTCTCGATCTGCCGAGCCGCTGCCGCGACGAAGTTCCACGCGCAACTGCTTGCTATGCGCGTTCAGTCCAGGCTGACTGACAAAAATCTTGAAATCATCAAACCGTAATTTAAGATTGCGACAATTTTTTAGGGGCCACGTTTGGCGCAGGGTCTTCATTTTTTAGGGGCCATGGCCGATTTTTTAGGAGCATTTGGCGACATGGCGCTCGTGGGGTTGGAACACTGTATACAGTAAGACTGCGATTTATCGGATTGCTTTTTAATCCATTTTGCGATTCAATGGATCAGTTTTCTGGTTTCTTCAAGGGCTTCCAGTTAATTTGAATCAATGGGTTCTGTGATTGAACAGATCAATTCACCAGTCCTATGATATCTGATTTATCAATGTCTCATTGTAATCTAATTCTAACCATACATAATTCTATTTTCTCTCTCAACCAAACTTAGTATTATTATAGATCAAAGAGCTTCCAAAATTCGTGAGAAGAAACTCTTTTTGTATGTGTCCTCTCTATCTCCATATTTTTTTCATTTTTAGTCGTGCGGCGAAGCCGTATAGACTCTAGGTTTCGCCGGAGGCTAAAAAGTGTCCACACTTTTAGGCTAAGTCCAAGAGGAGAATTTTCGAGGAACCAAGTAACATATGAGGTATTGATATCGGTGCATTTTGGCCCAATGGAGATGTTACATGTGCGAGGAATTTGCAATTTGACTGTTGATTCTTGTATAAAAGTTCGCGAGGAACACAATGGTGCC